TGTTAATTTTCCTGTGTTTGAAATAGTAAATAGATAGATTGAGCTGAAGGAAGTCACCGCTATATATCTTCCTTTTGGTTGTATGTATTTTCAGATATTGATGAATGCGCGGACACAAAGACCAACGATTGCGGATGGACTTGTGTAAATGGACCTGGGAATTATAGTTGCTCCTGTCCACATGGTTATCACGGCGATGGGAAGAAAATTGGAGTTGGCTGTATGAAGGAAAAAGAGGTTAAAAGATATATTCCTTGGGTTATAGGTAATTCCCTGCTTTTTCTCACATCTATTAGTAAACCGATTTAGGTACGTCGATCCTTTATCTTTCAATTGGTAGGCCGATGATACACACTTGTGTATCAACTCCAAAATCTTTAGAAAACAGAAGAATTGGGAATAAAAGTGAGAAGAAGAGAAGCAGAGAATGGAAAGAATTAGAGAAGAAGAGGGGAAGAATTGGAGGGAGAAGGAAGTTGGAAGAAGGTAACAATTCTGCTGCTTTATTCTGCCCATTCTGAGGCTTATATACTATTCTTTACATGAGTAACAGAAAGCACAAACAGAAGTAACAGAAAGTAGTTGCAAGTACAACTGTATGGTAACAAACTTAACTAACTGAACTGGTGACTCAGCCAGGTTGATCTGACATCTTGTTAAGCACCCAACATCCCTTAGCTGTCAAAACTGCCTGTCAGTAACTGTAAAACTGCCGATTGTTGTTTGTTCCTATCAATACTCCCTCCTTTAAGAGTCCTTTTCCACAAGGACTATGTTTGGGTATAGAGCCTGGAAGTCATAAAGATATTCCCATGTAGCTTCTTCAACAGGCCTATGGCTCCATTGTATGAGGACTTGGGTGGCTGCCTGGTTGCCTCTCTTCACCATTCTCCTAGCTAGGATAGCACTACCTCACCAACCTTATCGAGCACCTTGTAAGGGCCAAAATAAAGGGGAGAAAGCTTATGGTTATCTCTGTGAGCTACAAAAAATTGCCTATAAGGCTTCAGTTTCACATAGACCTAATCTCCAATGTCAAGCTTCCTTTCAGATCTTCTTCTATCAGCCAAGGTCTTCATCCTTTTCTGGGCTCGAGTCAAGTGGTATTTTAGGAGTTGCAACATTGACTCTCTGTCCTGCAATTGTTGATCAATAGAAGCTATAGCTGAATCTCCTGGGAAGTAGGACACGTGGATAGGTGGAGGATACCCATATAAGGCCTCGAATGGAGATGTGTGTATGGCTGTATTGAAGGTTGTGTTATACCACCACTCGGCCAAGGAGAGCCACTTAGCCCATTGTTTAGGTTGATCACAAGCCATGCACCGGAGATAAGTCTCCAAGCTTCTATTAACCACCTCAGTCTGGCTATCAGATTGAGGGTGGTACGAGGATGATAGCAGCAAGTCTACACTCTGCAACTTAAATAGCTCTTGCCAGAAGGTGATCAAAAAGACAGAGTCCCTGTCACTAACAATGGAATTAGGTAACCCATATAGCTTAAAGACATGATCCATGAAGGATTGAGCCACCATGGAAGCTGTAAAGGGATGTGCAAGGGGTATGAAATGACCATATTTTGTAAATCTGTCTACTACAACAAAAATCTCATCAAAGCCCTGTGGCTTTGGCAATCCTTCAATGAAATCCATGTTTATTGCTTGCCAAGCACCTTCTGGAATTGGAAGGGGCTGCAAGAGACCGGGAGCAGCCGAGTGGTCATATTTGCATCTTTGACAGATGCTGCAAGCTCTGATGAACTGTCTTACATCCTTTGCCATTCTTTTCTAGAAAAATACTGCCTGCATTCTCTTGAGGGTAGCATAGACACCTAAATGGCCCCCAATTGGTGTACTGTGCATTAGATGAATGATTTTCTTCCTTAAAGCAGGATTGTTCCCCACAACTATTCTCCCTTTCTTTTTTAGAACTGCATTATCCCAAGAATACTGTGTGTATGGGGTAACGGAAGGAACTTGAGATTCTTGGAGAGAAGCAATGAGTTGTTGGAGATACTCATCCTTCTCCCAACTAGCTTGTATTTCCTCTAAGAGGCCAGACTGTATACTTGATACTGCTAAGGCAAACAACTTAGAACTATGCACCCTTAAAAGAGTGTCAGCAACTACATTTTCTCTCCCCTTCTTATATTGGATCTCGTAGTCAAAACCAAGTAGCTTTGTCAACCATCTCTGTTGTCCAGGGGTTGTGATCTTCTGTTCTAGTAGATATTTTAAACTCTGATGGTCAGTTTTTACCACAAAGTGCCTTCCAGTTAGGTAGTGTTCCCATCTTTTAACTGCATAAACCAAGGCCAGTAGTTCTCTCTCATAAACTGAGAGTTGCTGGTGTCTTTTGGAGAGTGCCTTGCTGATGAATGCAAGTGGGTGGCCTTCTTGTAACAAAACAGCACCAATTCCATGACCTGAAGCATCTATCTCGACAACAAAAACCTTGGAGAAGTCCGGTAAGGAAAGTACTGGTGCCGAAGCCATGGCTTGCTTGAGCTTCTGGAAGGCCTCTTCTGCTTCCTCGTTCCACTTAAACCCATATTTCTTTAATAGAGCAATTAGGGGCTTGCTGATATGACCATAGTTCCTCACAAATCTCCTATAGTAACCTGTGAGACCTAGAAATCCCTTTAATTGCTTAACGGTTGCAGGTGTTGGCCATCTTAGGACTGCTTCTATCTTTTTTGGATCAGTTGAAACCCCTTTGGCGGAGATAAAATGGCCTAAGTACTCAACCTTGGTACTGCCAAAGCTACACTTGCTCCTTTTGGCATACAAGGTATGAGTTTTGAGTATGGTAAGTACTTGCCTCAAGTGAGTCATGCGCTGTTCCTTGGAAGGGCTATACACCAATATGCCATCAAAAACACCAGTACAAACTTCCTTAAGAAGGCCCTAAACATCTCATTCATTAAGCTTTGAAATGTTGAGGGTGCATTAATAAGGCCGAATGGCATGACAAGAAACTCATAATGACCATCATGAGTCTTAAATGCAGTCTTATACTCATCTCCAACATGCTTTCCAATCTGGTGGTAGCCAGATCTGAGGTCAATCTTGGAGAAAATAACAGCCCCATGCAATTCATCTAAGAGTTCTTCAATCACTGGAATAGGGAATTTATCCTTTACAGTGGCTTTGTTGAGAGCTCTGTAATCAATACACATTCTCCAAGTGCTGTCCTTTTTCTTTACAAGAATAACTGGGGAAGAGAATGGACTATTACTGGCTCTTATGACTCCATTATCTAGCATTTCCTTAATGATCTGTTCTATAATGTCTTTCTGAATTGATGAGTGCCTATAGGGCCTTAAGCTAATAGGATTAGTGTTGTCCTTTAATACTATCTTGTGATCATATGCCCTATGTGGTGGTAACCCTCTAGGTTCATCAAAAACATCACTGAATTCATCTAAAAGAGCCTGAATGGATGTAGGGATTACCGAAGTTCCTGCTGCTAGTTGCATAATTGAGGGAAGTGCAACCGATTCTTCCTTGCTTCTGACATGAATGGTAAGGAACTGAACTAGTCCACTGTCAGTGGTTTTCTTCAGTTGTTGAGACAAGGTTTTCTCAGGTACTGCCATTACTGCTGCAGTTTGCTCACCGAACAATACTATTTGTCTACCGGCTAAGGTGAATTCCATTCTCAAAGTTCTAAAGTTCCAAAGAACATCACCAAGTGTTTCTAACCACTGTATTCCAAGTACTTGTTCGCAGCCACCTAGATTTAGTATCAGTACATCAGTTGTAAAAACATACCCTTGCATGGACCAGGTGAAGCCTCTACATATTGCATTGCAAGTCAGCAGCTCTCCATTTGCTACTTTGACTAAGAGGCCCCTTGTGGTTTCTAGTGCACAACCTATCTTTTTTTGCCATTACAGCATCAAAAAAGTTATGTGAATTTCCTGAGTCCACCAATGTATGCAAATTCCTCCTCTTATAAGAGCTAGTGATCCTCATGGTGTTGTATTGAATAGTCTCAGTTTGCCCCAATAGAGCATGGAGAGATATCAAGGGTTGTAGATCCTCCACTGGTGTTTCTTCTTCAATGAGTGGAGTCTCCCCTTCAGTAGTAGATGTCTCCCCTTCACAGGCAATTCACCCACCTTCCTCTTCTTCAGCAATTGTGATGGAATACAATTGTTTTCCCTTACACCTATGGCCCTGTTCATATTTATCACCACATGTAAAGCACAACTCCTTGGCTCTTCTCTCCTCCAACTCTTTATTAGACAGGGTTCTAGTATGTCTAGAGTTACCCTTGTTCAAGGGCAGTGCACTGGGAGGCAATGGTAGAATTCCAGCCTGACTGTTTCTAGCTGAGAGAGCTGGTGGTGACAGTCTTGGTAATAAGGGTTGCTGTGGCGGTCTAGGCAATAAGGCCTGTTGGGGTGGTTTCGTTGATACAGGAAGTTGAGGCCTTGGAAGGGACTGATGTTATGGTTTGAGGAGAGTCTTGGCCACTGCAAGTAATGACTCATTAGTGATCTCCTGTAATCTGGCCATTCCATAAGCCTGGGAGAGTGATACAAGGTTAAACATCCTAACTGGATTTTGAATTTCCTTCTTGAGGCCTGCAAGGAAGAAGCTGAGAGCTTGGGTCTCAGCCACATCTGCTCGTGTGTATAATTGGTCAAATTCATCAAAGTAATCTTGGAGGGAACCTGTTTGCTTAAGGTTCTTGAGCTCAGCGAGGGGATCATCATAAATTTGTTCATCAAATCTCTCATTCATGGCTCTCAAGTACTCCTCCCAAACAGGTAAACCCCTGAATCCCCTACTCTTGGCATACATTTGATGCCATTGTAGGGCCTTACCTTCTAAGTGGATTGCGGCTACCCTGATCTTGTTCTCAGCGGCAGTCCTATCGAATTCAAAGAATTGCTCCACCTTGTACAGCCAACCCTTGAAATCCTCACCACTGAATCTTGGAAAATCAATTTGAGTCAATCTTGTGGAGTTCTGTTGTGGCACATTCATCTGCTGGTTCTGTTGGGCATTAATGGTTTGAACTTGGAAACTCAAGGCTGTAAGTAACTCCCTCATTTCAGCCAGAGATCTGTCAAACATTTCGCTTAACTCAGTAATTCGAGCATCTGCTTGATCTTGCCTCTGGTTTGCCTCACACGTAAAGTTCTTGAAGGATTCCTCGAGCCTCCTAGCTTCTTGGTCTCTGGTACCTTCCGCCATGACTGGTCTTGCTGCAAATTGAAATCCTTAAGCAATGGTGCCAAGATCAAGCTCTGAT